CGAGATTGTGTTAGATAAAAAAATCGCCGATGTTCCCAATTCTGTGGTAAACAGGTATGTTTAACACATTTCTGTAACTTATATTGCATTTTCCCGTTTTATTTCGGGCTAGCACCGCACCGCCGACCCGAACAGGTATACTCACTGAAAGACTGGCCTTCTAGCGGGGCCTAGGCCTCTCTAGACTTTGGCTGAAGTAGAGTTACAAATGGCGTGAGTATTGCCATTTATGTAAACTTGAAAGTTACTTAATTACATAATAACTAACTTAAAAGTAATATTACGCGTGGATATCGTCTCCTACATTTCTTCTACAAACAAGTGATATAAACGACGTACGTGTTGGCGGTGTACCGACGCCTAGGTCTGTGCTCCAGAAGATATTAAAATGCTAATTTTTGTAACTTATGATTCAAAATTGAAGATGCACTTATGATATATGGTAAATAGATTATTTTCTATTAGTGCCTTTCCAAAATAAAACTGGATTATGCAATATAAGTTATGGAAATAGGGATATTAAAAGTTATTGTACTACGAAACTCAGTGCACTAGGAAGCAACAAAATGGCTGATCATGATTTGTTTGGCCCAGCGAAACCGGTAACCAGGAAACGTGAAGTCACACTTTTTTCCTTTATTTTGACCCTGGAAAGATGCTTGTATCTGATTGGCTTTCACACAAACAGGTCTCGGCTCGCTGGCGACCCACATGCAAGCGGCTGTTCACATGGATCGAGAGCGAGGTGCATCGAGAGCCGCTCGAGAGCGGCTTGACGTGGGTCGCCCACAGCAAGTTGTTCACATGAAGGCCCGGCTCGCGAGCCGATCGTTCACTCGCGAGCAACCTAAGACATGTGAACGCGGTATAAGACATGTGAACGCGGTATTAAGTATTGACTAATTTTCATGAGTGTACTTAAGATGAGATTAAGATACCGACTTCCTTATTTAATTGTCATTTAAACAATTATTTTATCCCTTCCATTAGAAAGATGTTAAATAATATACATTAATCAGTTTCACTATTCTATGTTTTAGATTACATTGGCCAAGGATTGTCATTTGGCATATCAAAGTATGTACTTGAGGGGTCATTTAAGAAGGTACAAAATATACTCCTTCCTGTGACCCCTTACATCCCATGAAAGAATACACACAAAAGTCGGTTGTTGTCATGATTGTACTACACTACTCCCCCTGTTTTTCACCCTCACAGAATAATAAAAAGTGGATATCCCACAGACAAAAGCGGACATACAGAATACATGGAGAGACAGGACAGTAGGCCTTGCATCAATTGTCAAATATTAACACCTTCAAGTGTTGACTTGCTCACTGTGAGGTGTTGAAATATGTGTTCATAATCTCATCTTACTCTTTTGCTAAAACACATGTGACCCATGATGTCAAGTGAAATATAATCTTGTTAATAGTTTGTATTTCTAATTAGTACAAATTACCATGTAATTAGTGAAGTTACTCTTTATTTATATTAACCTTTAATTAGATTATTCTGTATCCTGATAAAAATGTGCTTTTAGTGCTCTCTGGCAAATTATAGATTAAGACGTACCATACAGAACATAATTATGTATTCAATTTGTCCTTTGTGTAAGTGTGTGCCATCAATTAGCTTGGTCTACACCAAGATGCAAGTCCTTGTGGATGAAAACGTCAGGAGGCTTTTATGTTCTAGACTCCATGGTTCTAGCAACACATTTTACACCCACATGTGAAATGTTAGGTTGACACAGCTACTGTAGTGAAGTACCAACAGCTGGTGTCCATGGCCTGGTCACGACCCCCGACCTAAGTTTACACCCTACAGGGGTTTGAGAGCTATGATTGGTTGTATTATGCTTTGCAATCCGCTATAGCAATAACAGTGGTTCAAAACATGTTGGACTTTAAAAACTCAATTTTCAGTAGATTTATGTTATTTCCCTGGGGCTTATTCTTAGTACAATGACAAGTATTGTGAAAGTATCATGTGTTTCTTGTCATTGCTTTTTAAACCAGCATGTATAGATTCTTTATCTCCTTGTAGGCCTATGTGTCAATGGGTATGTACTGTAAGCTTAAAATATAATTCTCAAAATAATATTAATGTTGTAGCGTCATCATTATCATGACGTAATGTAATGTAGTTCGATTTATATAGTGCTTTATACCGATGTCTTGAGGTGTGGACTAGCTTGTACAGTAACTTTCGTCTCCCCAAGGGTCTCTTCATGTCTGAGCTACCCAGTGAACCGGTTGTTTCACCCCTAAGGGTCACTTCATGTCTGAGCTACCCAGTGAACCAGTTGTTTCACCACTAGACGAGCCTGCCGTTTTAACCAGCACCGATATTATGCCTGTAGGTGTCGGTGTCCCTGCTTTAACTGTTGGGAAATTAAATATCGTCATCATTAATTTCATCATTGTGATTCATTTTTTCATTCATTCGTTATTATAATGAAATGTGTACTACTGTATTAATTTAGAGTATCAATGTAAGAACAAAAGGATCCTCCTTGCTTTCTTATTTCCTTTTGTGTATTTATTGGTGAATCATTAATTTTAACTTTGAATTATTTATAATTAAGACATGGTGATTAACTCATAATCTTACCTATTTGTCATCTTGATTAATATCCTTATTATCTCATCATTATCCACATGCCTAGCCATCAGCTTTGCAGAATTAAGGTCCTGTCAAAGTGTAAAATTGATTATCTACAGTAGCTATTTTCAATATTCAATAGTCAATCGTGATCGTGCATATCGTCATCAATATTAATTGTTATGAATATGTTTATCATAAATGTTTACTAAGTAGGAACATGATACATGTGTGGATCATATTTTATTGAATACTTTATGCAGGTCTAGATATATATAGTAATAACTGATCATGTTTATTTTATAGCTCTGATGAGGAGCTTTAGGAATACCTAGCTGATTGATTAATAATAGATATTTTTTGTGCTGATTGCTTTGTAGATCTTTTTTGTATGAGAAGCTCTAGAAACACTCGACTGAACCTCACTTTTTATTGTTTTCAATTTTAAGACATTTTATTTTTTCAATTTTAAGACATTTTAATTTTTTACAAATGAACATTCTAATTATTTGAAAATTTCCCTCCTTTAGCTCTTCTAAATTTTTTTGTCAACCAGCTCTCAAGTACAGAATGTTCATTTATTTAATAAAAAATAAAAAAAATTAAACATTAAACGCTGAATAGAAGTAATCCCAGTTTCATGCGCGGACCGGTGATTAATTGATCTTTTTGAATACTACCATTTTATGAGTCTTTAAATGTTCATGAACATCTTATATCTCCGTTTCAAAATTGCGTGCATTCATACTGACATTTAGTAGCTTCATTGCAGTATTATAAATTTGTGATTCACACATAAGACTAACATGATTTTAAGAATCTAAAATTTGTGTATAAGGTGACCCCTCCCCTTTTGTTTTCCGATCGTAATTGGCTATTTTAAGGCTCGTCTTATACGCGAGTATATATGGTATTGGTGAAACATGGTTAATACCTGCTTAAAGTTATTTATATTATAATAACTCGTTTAAGTATATCTTTACTTTTCCCTTTGATCTTTTCTACTCAAGGTTTAGTTTCTTCTTTCATTGTACTTTACTAACGTAATTTTAATAATGAATTCTCACATGTGTGGCTTTTGTAGTGTGACAAGTCCTCATCCAATATTTTATAGATTTGAATCCCGACACGATGGCATGCATTTTGATACTTGGAGTATGTATTATACTACCGGTATCTTATCTGAGATTAATCAGTAGACCTTTTGGTTTTTATAGATTTGTGTTATTGTAAAATTATTCATTTACGATATTTAATGGAGGTAAATATGAGCTCCACATATGCCAATAATGGTAAGCCATTTAAAAGCTGTGCACGCGTCTGGAGGATAAATCGTCACAAACATTTTGCCCTTACCAAAATTAGCATGATAATACAATAATGTCCTACTAGTCTTCCAATGTGTACTGTTTGTGGAGCTGCACCTACAGAATAAACGTGATTTAAGTCAGATGTACAATATCCTGTTTTTGTATGCTTTTCAAAAAGTAAGAATTCTTATTCCTTAGAGATTGTACAGCAGTGTTTATGTGTAACTGTAATGTCAACTATGTGAGGTCATTATAATTGTGGTAAACAAACGGGATAGTTGTTAAACATGTCGCAGAACACAACTGTAATTTGGCTGATTATGAATGTTTATGTGTGATCGCAAACAATGTTTTATAACCACCTCCAAGCAATTTGTAGCTGTGTCTCATGTTTTAACATTTAAAAAGTAGGCCTACTCAGACATAGTGTGCAATGCTAAGGGGGGTCATCATTATTTTTCATCTATTCAATTCATGTAGATATATTTTTACCTATTTGATATGTTATTTTATAAATTTTAATCAAATTTTTATTGTAAATTATTTTTGGTTTTTTTGGTGTTATGTTCTGGCACGCTGAATTGCTTCTTTAGGAGTCTTAGTGTCAAAATACGCTAGTAGAAGGCGTAAACAGTCATTACTCCTTTGAACAAATAATGATCTCAAAATTTATACTCATTTCAAGGAAAGAGGGAGGTCACAGAAAAGAGTATGTTGCACGATCTTGAAAATGATGACACATGAATAACCATTGAACCAAAATTGTTTTTACTTTATTAATGTAAAAATGTGTGCATGCTCCATTTATCTACTTATTAAATATTATTTAATTCCTTCAAGATTTATTGGACAAATATTTATATAATTATGATTTATTCTGTCAATCATTTATATTTATTATTTCTTTCTGAGTTATAATAAAAATAATATTTAACCTGTTTCATTTGAGGTATTTATAATAACATAATTGATTTTAGTGAGATTGACATTATTACTCCTCATGTGCATACTTCACTGCGCATACTGTCACCGTAGATTGCATACAACAAAGTTAATCAACACCATTTTTCTTGGTTTGTTTTTACAGATGCAGTCCCTTTTCTACAACAATTATAGTCAATCAGATTTGGCGTACACTGGGAATTTAAGAACTGCTGACGTTCACAAAGCCATCACGTTACATCCAGTCAAACGAACTCCATATATGTACCGTCTTCACACCTACCTTATGTCAGTTAAAGGAATGGATTACCAACTAAAAAAAATTCATCTACACCGTGAAATACTTAGCATGAAGCATATACTTAATGAGAATATAGATAGTGTTGGACGAAAGTTTGATGAACTGACCAACAAACTTGGTTTGAAACCTGGTTTAGTGAAGTACACTCCAGAAAAACATGAAGACGTGCTTGCTTGGCAGTTCTTGTCGAAATTCACCTTCAGCGAAAAAACAGACTTGCCACGAAAATCAAATAGTAAATCGTTGATTTCGGCTATGGAGGATATTATCTTACAAATTATGTTGCTCACAAATGCAAACTCCATGAAAGTTGGACGCGTCATTGATTTTAAAGAAATTTTGTATGGGTACTCAAGAGTTGTACCACACTATGGCGTTGATTATATTTTAGATTTACTACTTATATATAATAAACACAAAGGAAAGACACGTAAGCTCCCTGTACGGAGACACATTTATGTACAACAGGCATTCGGTGAAATTGAATTCATAGACAATGATGAAATTAGTAAAAAATTTGGCAAGGGGCCAGAGAGTCTTGATCTAAACTCTCGTAATATATTATCACCAGTTAAAAGTTTATATTATTTAAACCAAAGAAGACAAGTGAAAGAGGCAATACATTTTATAATGCCACTTTCTGGTAGATATGAAACCTTCCAACGATTTATGTCAAATTTTGAACAAACGTGCCTTCTACCAAGGGAGAATGTAAAACTACTAGTAGTTTTATTCAAAGCGCCGGAGAATGATCCGTCGTCTGAAATAGAGCAGTTAATTGCTAGCTATCAAGTCCGTTATCCATGGACGGAACTGCGAGTTCTGCACGCAATTGGCGTATTCTCGCGTGGGTTAGCATTACAACTTGGTGCTTCACAGTATTTAAGCAATGCATTGATGTTTTTTGTAGACGTTGATATGTATTTATCTGAAGGCTTTTTAGGCCGATGCCGGGAAAATACACAACTAGGAAAACAAGTATATTTTCCTGAGGTTTTTAGCCAGTATAACCCCAATGTTGTCTATGGACAAAACATGCGGCCAAACAGCCCCCTTGTTATAGGAAAAGATGTGGGATTTTTCCGACACTATGGGTTCGGTCTTGTTTGCCTCTATAATGAAGACCTGAACCGGGTGGGTGGCATGGATGCATCTATTGTTGGCTGGGGATTAGAAGATGTGGACCTTTTCCAAAAATTTGTTTCTAGCAATATAACAATCTTCCGAGCACCAGATCCCGGACTAGTGCATATTTACCATTCAGTAGTATGCGATGAAAATATTGATCAACGACAGTACCATATGTGTCTAGGATCTAAAGCTGGAACATATGCCAGTAATGCACAGCTTGTTAAAATACTAGGAAAATATAAAGAGGAAGCAAATGGGAAGCAATAATGAGAAATATTCCAGAGGTTTGAAGAAGGAAATGTAGTGCATTGCTAATGTGAACAAACCACTGCTAGCCTGTGTATATTGCCTGGTGGTTTGATGATCTGTCGTCGGTAAAAATCTTAATTGAATGTTCTTCTTTTGAACCATACTACAGTAGCCATTGATGTGATATGGTTTCTACTAGAGTAGTATTGAAATAAAATGATGACAGCCGTACAGCAAACGGCGCCCCGTAAGGCAATTATGCGATGAGTTGATACTGTGGTAGCTCAAGCTGGCCGTTGAAGATGGACAGGTTTAGCAGTTGTTGGCTCATGCTTCAACATTCAAAGTTCTTCTTTAGAAATGCCAACAACTGTTGGACATCATGGATCCTGCTCCAGTGTTAGAATGGAATGATGATCACAGCCAAGTACACTGCAGATTAGTTGATGCATTGGTGCTGTACCAAAATTAAATCATTGAATTGAGTATTCTTCAGGCACTGACTACTTTTACACCACTCTTAAACCAATTCCTGATTATGCTTGGATATTACCATATATGAATTGGATTACAACAATCGCATCCAATTGGAGAATTGTTTAAAGAGTGATGTAATAATAGGCTTATTCTTGAATGGGTTGATGCTTTGGGGCTAGCAACTCTCGAGAAATTGATTGACGAGTGATATCCACGAGCATTTATTGTTGCTAAGCAGGTACAGCATACTGTACAGTTTATCATTGGTTATAAAACAACTCCAATGTTATATTACCGGTATATTAATGCTATGAGTTGGTCTGAAGAATCTAGTTTACTTTGATGATGATGTAGAGGAAGAGTCCATGACATTTCCAAAAAGTTTTTAAAAATGTAAAATTATTTTAAAATGTTTTATTGATATTTTAAGACAATTTTTTTATTGTAGATACTGATTACCATATTTTTTTGAATAACTTGTTTGTTTTCTGTGTTTTAAAAAATATAATATGTTATTGTGGACAGTTTTTATTGCAAGCTTTGATTGTGTTTGCACAATTTTTTACTCCATAGTTGAATTTAATATGGAGGTTGTACCTGCACCGCCATTGGGGTACAAAGGTCTTGTTCAGTTTATGTCTTTGGGTTGAAAATATATACAGTAGTCAGTATTTTTAGAACAATATTTTATTATGGGTGAAACACCAAAGTGCATTTAATTCTAATTGTTAAAGTATCAGAGGTTGCTTATTAATATTATAAAAAATCATGAAATGTGTAATTATTGTAGTTTTCATAGATTGGTTGGTAAATAGAGAATGCTACAAGTACTGTAGTTTGGTATAACATGTGCAAAAATTTAATGTACTGTATCTTGTAATTGTTTTGTTTCTGCACACATGCTGAAGGTTCATGATTCTGCCGCTAGACAATAATTTATCTGATTTTTGTTTCTTTATGCAGCTGCTATTCTTAGTATTATTTTCCTTCCTCAAATGCTCATGGCTGAAAATATTTATGAAAATGGCTCCTGGAAACAAAAGGATATTGAAGTTGGTGCACAATATGATCTCAGATCTGAATTATTTAATTCCTAATAGTTGAGAGTAAAATAATAGTTTTATAGTAGGGTAATACATTTTAAGATGTGTTTTAATGTTTTTATGCAATATTGGAGGGAAAACAAATAAGCATACACTTGGAAATGTAATATTTAAATTTTCTAGACATAATTCACTGAATTGTACAGGTAGTGTTTTAATTCAATCATGTTAGGTTTTAGTTGGCATACAGTATGTATATTCTGATATTCTTAATTTCTGTGTGATGTTTTTGTGATGTGGGGAATAATTTTAATACTTAAAATCGCACAAGTTTCTGATCCTCATGGGTCCAACTTAATTACATAATTCTTTGAAAAATAATCATAGTATTATAATATACTATTATTTATTCCTTAAATTTGTTGTCTGTAGTAATGATACTGTAATACAATTGTTGTTATTGTGGGTAACAGTTAATGTTTCGTATTTTTAGGATAATTCAAATAGCTACTTTTGCTAAATTTATATTAACATATTTTTTGATAAGTATACTTCTGCATTTTTAAGATATTTCAAAAAGCTACTGTTGCTAAATTTATATTAACATATTTTACATCATGGGACTAAAAAAAATCAGTTTATAAGGAAATGTTATCATTAATGAAAACAATTTTGTGTTTGAAATTTGTTTCCTAAAAGGGGAACAGCCTTTTGATAGTCTTCAATACATCCGGCATTATTTCTAGAATTCATTTATTACATTGAGAGTTTTTTTAGGAATTGTAGATAAGTATTTAATAAACCAATTTAAATAAAATTTGGTCTGTGAAGATGTTAAATATCATATTGAAATATATTTAAGACTGCTGTTTTCTCAAAATATTATTTAGCATCTAAAAATATAATGTGTATGTTTATAACGCTGCTCACAAACTGAAGCAATATTCTGCGTTCCAATGCTCCAGTGATCATGCTTTCATAAGTTGGGCTGTTCCAGTGTTCAGCACGTTGATGATCACTACTTTCCACTTGTGATTTTGTAGGTGTACTCGTGAATATTTACATCATAATTGAGAATATGGGCGTGGGACACTACTGTACATATGATTAAACTTCGAACAAGTACAAAATTGTAAGAATGAATTGTTGTAAAGCAATTTTATTGTTTAAAATAATTTTTTTTTCAATTTCAGGGAGTTTTTTTTTTTACTAGTAGTGAGTAGGAGGGTACAGTAGTTACATCATACGTTTTGAATTTATTGCTCATCTGAAATGATTGATAATGAGTAGCGTACGTACTGTAGTAACAAAATTGCGTGATTACAGTTGTTCACAGGTTGTTTTCACAGTTATCACGGGTGCATTGGAACGCATCAAAGTTATCACATCACTTGCTACTAGGATTTATGTTTGTGCTGCAGCTGTATATTGCTACACACAACTAATATGGAGATTTTAGAATGTTTTAGCGTTGAATGATGGTTTGTGTGTAACGTACGTACTGCGGCAGCCGTACGTTAAGCAACCGCGGTACACTACACCCACCCACCAACACATTCAATTGCTACTCCATCCTACCATGTATTACTCTCAGTAGGTACTCCTGTGTGGGTAAAATGCATGCATTAAGCAAGGGCACAGGTAATTATTTAATCATGTTTTGACTGCATGACCTAATGAATAGTCATGATTGCTGATAACATACCTTGAGAGAAGATGAACTGTTAGTGAACATTCCTTGTTAATAAAAAGACCAGTCAACATATTCATCAGTGTAACAATAACAAGATTTAGTTTAGGAATGGTATGGAATATTTGGATAATCCTTTCAATGAGAACATTACTAGATTAAATAGGAAAGGTACTCCAGTGAGATTAAAAAGTCTATTAGTGTGTCGTCACAGTCTCTCAAAGCACATTAATGTTAAAGTAGTCAAAATTAACTAAATGAATAAATATGTTGTATTAATTTAAATTTGGTTAGAAAAAATATGAAATGGAGAGCACTATTATTCTAAAAATGTATATATATCTACTTAAAGTTATTCTCGCCAATAAGGACAATCAATTAATTATTTTTTTAAAGGATATTTATAAAAATATAAGCTGTCATTGTGAGAATAGATACTTGCATTTGAGATATATTTTACTTTAATTTGCAACTATAATTTCTGTATTTTTAATTAAAATCACAGTTTTATACAGTATACTTTTAAATTTTGTTGTACAAAGTTATCAATTATTGAATATTAACTACTTTATGGTGATAGTACAAAATATAGGGATTTCAGATTTCAATCAAAATATGTGCTCATAATTATTTTCTTCAATTTACATGTTTAATTAATCTATTATGTTGTTTTTTTATGTGTAATTCAATTTGGACAAAAAAAAATATTTACTGATCTTGTATTGAGTAGAATATATTATTCATAATTTATCACAACATAATTTCATAATATATAATCCCTGATCATATTCATTTTCAAACCACATGAACAAGTAGTGACTTTTTTGTGCGGTTTGGAAATTGAGTCATGAAGCCCATGAATGAATTAATATAGGATGTCATGATTTTTATTTTAACCTTTTTTAGAAATAAAGTACTAGCGAGGGAAATGCCTCAAGTCAATTGTACCTAGCTTAATAGTTTACTCAAGAAACCTTTTGCTAAAGTACCTTATGCTACCAATATAACTACCAGTTACATGTATTCAATATCACTTTATGATTTATTTTCTTTGCATGTCCTACTAATGTATTGTCAACTGTGTCTGGGCCTTTTTCCAAGTCCTTGCACTCTATGAAGGAAGTTGAGATGCTAAAAAGATTGCCACAACGATTACGTTACAGTTCACAACAGCAACCCTCACATTGTTCTATGTTCTTTCTCTAGTTGTTAGTGATTATGTTGTTATTTTTTTGGTACAGTTTTTAAGTTGCGAAAGTTATAGTGCCTTCCGTCTGTGTTTAATTAAATAAGGGGAATTGCCTAAGTAAGTTAGCCTTCAATTGTAAAATCAACAGTGTCATGAATTATTCTAGCAATATTCTTGCATACAGTAGATCTCTAAATTTTTTATTACCAATTTTAAGATTTAATTTAATTTTTTTTTAATTTAATGATTTTATTCTTTTTAGGGTTCATCCCGAATTCACTGCAAATAATACATATTGAATGGTTCTACAATATTGAGGAAGAACTTGTTGGTAGAGTTAGCTAAAACTTATCTAAACTAATTATATATATACCTTTTCAAAAAAACTGACTTTTCTCTAGACCTTTTATTTTTAAACTTTTATACATCACAGTATTTGTTTGCGGTATATTCACAGACAAGAGTAACCAATTATATTCAATCCTAAACATTTATTATTTTCTATTCTATTTTAAAAACCTGTATTAATTTTTTCATAATTGTCACTATTGTTTTTAATAGAGAAAAAGTAATTTTATATGATTTTCTTGTGTCCAATACTTTTTGTTTAGTATTAGTTCAAACAAATTTGACAATCTCAGAACTGGTGCCTCAACCCCTTGCCACGAGATACTAACCACCAGGTTACAATATTTCTTTTAAACAGATTATATTATTATTATTATATTTTTCATTCAAGAGTAGTTCACATTTGTACTGAATATTAAAGTAGATTATTTTAATTTTCTTATGCATTCATCATTAATATTTGTTATGTTATGCCTGTGTTTCACATTAGTGTGTCTGTTTGTATCCATTTTTGACCTCGTATGAATATAGGTTATGAACTATTCATGAGGTTTGAATTTGCATGGGCTTCTATGAATACTGTCCTGTGGGTCATGCTTCTAACAAAGAGATTTTTGTGAATTGTTTTGACCACAAGGATACTGCTTCCTGTTTCACTCCTGTAGTTTTCAAAAAGATATTTTAATTGTTCAATTCAATTTATTAGAAATAACTAATTCACACACAATGGTGGTGCATTAAAATTAACGGTTTTTACAGAAAATCAGCAAACTGGCATACAGAAACACAATTTTGAAATAGAATGTTCAATGTAAATGCTAACAATACAAAGAAGCTTCAGCCAGCACAAAAAAGAAATTCAATCAAACAGGCCAAAAAAAATCATAAGGAAACAAAAAAAAACAAAAAAAAACCAAAGAAAAATATGTTAAAATGTTATGTGAATGACAAACAAGGACCATATGTCAAAAGTGTCAGTACCATGTGTCTTAAAATATGATTTTGACATTGTTATATATCAGGTCATTTCAAATCATAGGTTTTTTTGTTTTTTGTTTGTTTTTTGTGCATTGAATCCTTTATAATCTGTTAATCTTTTGATCCCACTTATTGATTGATACTTCAAAGTAAACTTGTTTTTTGTTTGTTTTTTGTGCATTGAATCCTTTATAATCTGTTAATCTTTTGATCCCACTTATTGATTGATACTTCAAAGTAAACTTGTGCACTTTATTGCTATGTATTTTCAGACATGGGATCTGCGCAAGTTATTACATAATTGATTTAATGTGATTACAAAGTTCAATTTCCCATGTTCAAACACGTGCCAATTAGGAAAGTGGACTGTGTATACGTCATAAAATATTAAGGTGAAACACAGTCATAGTATTATAGAGACAAGATATGTGTATTAAGATGACCAACATGTTAAGGTGATTTGTGAATGGGAAAGGGGATTAAAACTTAGACAGAGACAAGATGTGTATTAAGATGACCATCATGTTAAGGTGATTTGTGAATGGGAAAGGGGTTTCTTGGTGAAAATTTATAATAGATTTGGTTAATTCATGTGTACATACATGACCAATGGTGCTTTATATGGGGGTATGGGAGAAAAAAAGAACTAGATTGCTTTATGTTATAGGTTATACTTAAACTCTAATGTGTTGTTTCTTCTTGAGGGAAGGGATGTAGTGTAGAATCTATCCAGTGGCATAACTTTTATATTAAGAGGGGTAGGAAGAGCAGCTCTCTGTATAACATGGTATAAATGTGGGAGATCGACTCAAAAATATGGTACTGTATAAATTTGGAGAAGGGCAATAACACATAACATGGTATAAATTTGAAAGGAGGAAAATGAAGTGGTTTTAATTTTTAAGTTTTAACATTATAACTGTCTGTCTCTAATATGTGATTTTTATACCTTTATTTTGTTTCTGTACATTGTATGTGTAATTTTGATGATGTATAATAAAAGTTTCATGAAATTTTTCTTTAAATAGCTTGTTGTTTTTGTTAAATTGTATATAATCTTAAAATTAAAATTAAGCTAGATTGATGCTCTGTGCTTATATGTTTCCATAGCTAAAGCAATTATGACGTTAGTCATGTGGATGATGGTGACGATTATATTGCAATGACGATGATACTGTCACAGAAAATGTGATATTTACAGTGTGATGAATTTTCAAAATCATTCTCACAGTTAGACTAGTGGTGTTGTCTTTCAACAGTTAATACTGTATTATATACATATCATATACAGCTTCTGGTTTGTAAATTTGTGTTTCATTTAATAAAGAATGTTGAAGCAATACATTGGTTTGGGGACCTAAATAGGGAAGGGTAGAGAGCTCAGTAGATTGTCGCAGGGTGGATCCAGTAGGGGGGAACGTTCCCCCATTTTGCCACTAAATTAAAACAATTTTATGGCTTATTGAAATTAGCACTCTCACTTATCTATTCCCCCGGTTTGAAAAATTCTGTATCTGCCCCTGTCATTCCCTGCAAGTTAAATATTCTTCAAGGATGGGGAACACTGTAGCCCTGCAACCCTGTGGCTTATGCATGTCCACAGCTCAAAACGCTTTTGGTGATTGGATAATCTTTGCAATAAATTCAACACAACTTCAACACCTAAATTGATTACAGTGTGTTTCCTGACAAATGTTTTTATTATCAGGAAGGAAGGTCGTCATGCCTAGATTAGGAGGGAGGGAGAGAGAACCAAGGCCAGTATTGTAGGCCTACTTGGGGAAATTGAAAATAAATTATGCTTCTACTACATACATTATGTACATCATCCAAAATAGATTTGTAATGTGATCAAAAGGAGCCCATGGGCAAAGAGTGGTGAGGTTGTATGGGGAGCTGCTATTTTTGGTTTAATCCCATATTTATTTCTTGTGGGACCTCAGAGCTATCATGTATTATGGTGTCTTCATATATAGTTTTGCTTTTTTTTTCCTTTGTAATCCATAGCCTTGATGATATTGGCTTTTATTACTTTTAAAAAAATACAATATCTGCATAGGCACTACTGATTGCTTGCACGTGTATGTGTGTGTGTGTGTATGGGAGTGGGGGTGTGTGAGTCAGTATTTGATTTAGTATCCACTATGATTTTTTTTATATATCAATGTGACCTTGTCTATTGGTCTAATCAGTAGCCACTTGCATTGCATTCCGATAAAAATAAGAAGATAAATTTGGAAAGAGAAAGGATGATAAAAAGTAGATTATCATTATCTCATAGAATTAAGGAGGGATTATGTTAAACATTTCCATAAGCTACCACTCTTAAGGGACACTAATGGATTTAGTTTATCCCTTTGGATTTGTGGGATCAGGTTCTTCGTCTCAGATGTCAGATTCTATCTGTCATTTATTTTTGATTTGTCTAAGCAGGTAGTCTAGCTTGTCATGGACAGTCCACTACTTATCCGTAACTAATACTTAACCTATTTTCTTATAATTGATGGTCAATCTTTACAGATATTTCTGCCCTGCATGATTAACGATTCCTGTCTAATTGAATAAAAGCTTTTAAGAGATTTGAGCTTAACACAGGTTTAAAGTATTTAATAGGTTTTTGGCATTTCATTACAAAGCCATGCATTCCGTGATTCGGTGTTGCAACTCTATTAATTGACTAACAACTGCATAGCAATTTCCAGCATTAAGCAAGTAAAAAATAAAGCATTTAAAGTCCTAAATTCCCATCACAATCAAAGAACGGATGTACGCATCGCTATTATGCCTCACTTATATATTAGAATATTCTTCGGCAACATGGGACCTTATACTGCCAAGAATATAAATGACTTGGAGAAAGTCCAAAATGCTGTTTGTAATATATTTTTTACCAGTAGGCCTATCTACGGAAAGGACAAATTTTATACTTATAGCTATAATAAATTTACTTGAATATTTTAGTATAATTGTCGGCGAACAAGCAAAGTGTAGTACGCATATCACTATAAGTTTTCTGGACAAAACGGCAATAAGTAAAAACGGCAATGACCCAAACGGCCCCAATAAACAAAAACACTTTTTGACCAGAACGCAATGGACCAAAACGGCAATAAGTCAAAACGGCAATGACCAAAACGGCAAGGCCTAAGTCAAACGGCAGTAGGCTAAAACCAAAACGGCAACACTTCCAGAATGGCATACTGTAGGGGATTATATTTATTTAT